CCTGGAACCTTACTCACCAACAGAAACAACATCTCCAAAAGTTAAGGCTATTTTACTGTGTTCTTCAATGAGTTGGAGGTTACTTTTCCAGACGATTCAATTAGAGTGGGAAATCCGCTATGCCCTACCTCTCTTAAATGACATTATGATTAATGTATCATCATCAGCCTAAAATGTGAACACTCAAAAGTACTTCTAGTCCTAGGTATGTCTTAAAGACAACACTTGTGTTAAAATTCAAGTCCAAATTAAATATTTTATACTTAAACTAGTGCCCCGTCCTCGCTTCGCTTCGGTGTAGAGCTGTAGTGTAGACTATAGTTATAAGTAGTTCTCAGGCTTGTATGTTACACAGTGAATAAATCCAAAGTACAAATAATTCAATTAAGTGTTTTTTTTTTTTAAATGTGAAAATTTATTTAACTGATAGTGAAAAATTTTGTTGCGTAGTTTAGGACCCGTTGTAAAAGAATGCACAATATTTTGATTTGACTCAACACACGTGGTGTGGCGTCGCCTTGTCGGGTGGCGTCGCGTTTCATAAGTGATTCGGCCGTATTAATTAGTTTTTGGGGGCTGAACGCGCAAATCTCAGAATCCCCAAAAAACACATGTGATTTTGCATTAAGAATAAAATATGGATGTTCACATTAATAGCCATTAGAGTAAAGTTTTAAAGCCTCTTAAATTTTCTCCCGGCAGTATTTAATTACACTAGAGTGGGTGTTCCGGGAAAGTATCTAGGTTCGCTAGAGTTGGGAAAATGCCAAATTAACCTATAAAGATCGCTTTTATATAAAGCACGCTAGGCACGGTCTGCTAGTGATATGAAGCGATGATATACTTCGTAATGTTTGTGATAAGAATATCAAAGTAAAATAAGAAAAACCTACCTGCTAAAAATTGAAGTTAAATAAAAACTGAAAAGAAATAAAATAGTCCAGTAGTTTAGAATTTTGTTAGGTAAGGAACAAAGCTACTTAAAAAGTCGGGATCCATTATTGGGAAAATTTGGTCCATTCTAGAATACCCAATGGACCGACTCTTAAAATAGCTTTGTTCCTTATTTAACAGAATTGTAAACTACTGACTGACATGCTACATATTCAACAACAAATCATATTTTTTCTAAAATTAAAAGCAGCTGAAAAATCTTTTGTACAGAAAGCAAAAAACGACGAAGGTACCACTAACACCCAGATACGATACCATATGGAAAAGTAAGATTTTCTACGCTATCCGACTGAGGATCGAACCCGCGATAACGAAAATCGCCAATCATAAAAGTAACCTAATTTTAATTCCAAATCAAAGAGATATTGTTCTTTACCTATCTAAAATGTAAGCAACTTACAGTATTAATTACGATTTATAGTTCAAGACAAATTTCAAAAAACCAAAAACTCGGTCATTCGAATTTTTCACATAAATTTTGAGGTTAAGTGAAAAAAGTGTTGATACAAAAGTTGTAGAGGACCATGAAACCCGGCATACGAACCACTCGACCACGGAGGTCGTTAAATAAATAAAAACTGAAAATAAGCAAAACATAGAGAAACATGGGTCGTTATCGCGTCCGCGTTGTTGCTCTATGTATTCATCTTATGAAACCACATTCGTTAGAATCAGGCAGGTTGAAGTGTGAAGACTTTAGAAGATTTCCCTTTTTAGTCCTGCAAGAAATATAATCTTAGTATTTATTTTTATAAAGATTTTTGTTGTGAAAGAAAAACTTGTAAAGACGGTTATATTTTCATTGTGTATTTTTTTCTTACAAAGCCACGTTAAAATAATAGCTTAAATCATGTGACAGTTGTCCGGGAATTTCCCGTTTTCAGAGATTGTATATGGAGCACATTAACGAGTTTGAATTCTGCGAATGGGCTTTTAAAGAAGAAATTAGATTGAATGGTTCCTATTGTGAGACAATAGGTAGCTCGAAGCTCTTTGTGGTTAAGGAAAATTTACTACGGTCTCCTTTGTTAGGCAATTGTTTTACTTAGAATTGTGATAACTTCGTTGATCGATTGTAGTTTTTAGTACATTACAGAGTTTAATGGCGCATATACCTTTATGGATTCCTAATGGAAATATCATAGTTTGTACGCAAACAAGTAACATATTTTACATTCAATAATAATAAATAATAAATTTAATTTAGTATTACCAGTGCCAAAACTAGAAATGTTTAAAAAAAGTCCTCTATACCGTTCAATTCTGATATATAATAAAATTCCGAAAGACTTTAAAAGAGAAAGCAACATAGTACATTTTAAATGAAACTCAAACAACATCTTATCTAAAAAGCAAACTATTCGGTAAATGAATTTATGAATGATTAGTGAAACCGTACGGAAACACGGAAAGCTCACTAACTTGTTTGAAACTAAAACTGTTTGATATTTGTCTAGATATAGATATTGTACTTGCAACGCCCTGACAGGGTCATGTATCATGCTAAAATGCCACGTAACCACCGTACCGATTATATCCATTTTTCAACCGATTACAAAATGGAGGAGGCTTTCAATTCGGCATGTATGTTTTTTTTTGCTTCGAGATTTCTGATCCGATTTGACATCCGACAGTTGCCATAAAAATTAAATTCAGTTTAGCTTTTTAGTTTTTATTTTATGAGCATTTTGTTGAATTGGACGATGTAATTTTCACGATACTTTGTGCATGGATGTTTCTTAGGAGTTTTTATGTCTTTACACTAAAATTAAGTATATGTCGTAACGCCAACCCAAATACACCATAAGATTCGTCCAGGCCAGAACTTTATTTTCTTTATATTAAATGTATGAAAAGCGTGTGCATTAGCGATACACAGCGCTGTGATAAAAATGACTGCAGTGTATCATTTTTGCACACGCGTGTATTAACAGGTGTGTGCAAAAATGATACACTGGCAGTCAAGGTGTTAATGGTCTAAAGATTATTATTTCACAAAAAATAATAAAAACTGACTATAAAAACGACAATGGAACCAAAAAGGAAAAAATAATATCCGGTTCGCACGAAATCGGGCGGATCCTAGTGTGATTTGGAACTCGGGCGGGGTCAAGATTGACACACGTATACTGATTAGAAATTAAAATGTATTGTATGTCTCGATCTTGGCCCCACCCGACATCCAAATCCGGATATTATTTTTTACTCTTGAGTTCCATTTTTTTAGATTTCTTATACCATATAGAAAGTTCTTCTGAAAAAGATATGAAAGTTGCGCATGCAACAATATTATAAAACTTACAGCAAATTTAAAACAAAATTCAATGAATGTTGCAAGTCAATGTAGCCGGACTTCTGGTGCACCTGAAACTGATTCCCCCAGCCTGCTATTACTCGATAAACACACTACAGACATAACATGACCTCTACCGCCTACCGAACACCCATACATATAAACACGTGTCTACTTACGCTAGACTTCGGTGCTCCAGAAGCATAATACTATTATTATCACTACTCTATCCGAAGCACGAACCATTATTGAAATCGATCTCGATACGCGTCATAGCTATGTCAAAAAGTTTGTGCCACTGATTTTTAATTCTCGTTATGTCTATTGTGGGTACGTGTGTACTGTTGACGTTTCCATGCAGATTTCCTCGATAACGATTCGCACTCGCAAACATAACAAATTCGATATTGGTTCATGCTAAGGGTGCTGGTGTATAATATGTTGTTAGTATACATAAGTATATGGGTGAGGGATCAACGCCACTTTTGGTATAGTGGTTAGTTAACATCGTGTTAGTTACCTAAGTTTTCGAGATCATTATTCTGACAGATGACAGACTTTTATTATCTACGTACAGGAATATTAGGAGCAGCTGGCAAACTTTGTTTTTATGTTGTTTTTGTTTATAACTCAAGTTAGACAGTAAAGCGAAACGCACTTTGTGCCAAGAGTCAAGCTGCTCGCTTAGTGAATAACTATGTGTTACTGTCTAAATTGTTACAAAACCCGTTGTGTGATTGTGATTATGTGATTTCTTGGCTGATTTTGTTGAAAGGATTGGCTTAACATTTTTATTTAATTTTGTTTGAAAAAGGGTGGCATATAAGCGTCTGGCCTGATAGTAAGTGACTACCATATCCTATAGACGCTTGCAATACCAAAAATATCACTCGTAACGTTGTCTACCCTAACCAATCCCCTTCCTAGTGAAGCCTTGGAAGTTCCAGGCTAAAAACTTGATTTACCAACAGAAACAAAATGCCAACAAAAGGTAGTGTTATTTTACTGTGATCTTCTGTAATACCTCCTCTACACGTCAACAGATGCATCAGCAAATGGATCACCACGAGCGGACGACTCATCTGACGACGTCTGTAGGTCATTCAGTCTGTGTTCATTCTCAACAGACGTAACTCGCACGCACACATAAACATTGAAAAAAATAATGTTGAGATCATAGCTGCCGCAATTATTTATTTATTTAGTACTTTTAACTACTACTTAAGCTGCATTGCAGTAGAATTATTAAAAAGAAATAGAAAAGAAGAAGGTGGTGGCAGCTGGCTATTTTTCGGATTCCACAGGTAGTTTTCTGCTTGAATACTACTCCAAGAATTTAAATGTTTCGTTATTGCTCATAATATTAGCTAGTTCGGCGAACGAGAGTTACAAACGAGCAAAAAGTAATTTCAAGCACACGTCCACTCGTGTTCGCAACTCCGGTACATAGCATTGTGAGACGTGTAGACAGACACGCCGGACGTCCGCGCTGATACCCTTTGTTGCATGGCACAAAAACTGACAACTAACGGATTCATGGCAGACGCATCTGTGGACGTTAAATACTTACCACAGGTGCGCAATCTCTGCCCCGTCTGCATTTCGGCGGACGCATCCGAAGATGGCATCTGTCGACGTGTAGAGGAGGCATTAAGTGAAGGATACTTCCCCAGACGAGACGTCCAATTCGAGCGGGAAATCCGTTATACCGCAGTTTATAGTTGTTAGTAGTAGTAATGAAGAGCGTGCGCACCGTTAAGCGAGCCACGGAGCGTCTTGGCTGTCTTCTGTGCTCTCGTCTGCGTTCTCTTTTACCTAGGTAGTCTTATAAAACAAAAATAATCCATTATCGACTGTTCACCCGCGCAATCGAAATTGTACTGGCGGCGGCGCTGCGAGTGGCACCGGCTTCTTACGGGTTCCGAGATGGGTTGAACGGGTTCCGCGTCGGAGCACGTGGCGAATCTCCGCGACGGACGCCCGCTCCGTGTCCGCATAAAGGTAAGTTCTTATCGTCATAAAAATTTAAAAAGTATCATTTATCTTAACCGTATTAGTTTGCATGAAGCTTTTCCTTTTTCCTAATTCAGCATTTATAATAAGTTATCCGAGTGTCAGCCCGACAAAATAACAAAGAAAATTCACATTCGCTCAACAAATAAACAAGATAACATCATCATTTATTCAGCAACTTTACGAATTACCTACCATTTTAGTTTTATAGTAAAAGTTGCAACGAACGTTTTACTTATATGTAGTCAAATAATCATTTGCATAACTCTGTATCACTATTAAGGACGAAACCAACGAAGTTAATGCAAGCAATAAAAGCATCCATTTAAACGACCGAGCGCATAGAATAAGCAAGCATATAGCAGAGTTAAACTTCACTAACCATGTTATTTCTAACTATGTAGTCTTGTGATCTGTACATTCGTATTATTCCATTTTGATTTTCTCTCGCCTAATAAGTCCCGCTTCCTCGAGACCAATCATTCATCTATGGAGGTATACTTATTTGAAATTATGAAAATATAATTGCAGGACATAAAGTACTAAAGATAGATTCTATCTTCATCGTGTTATTAATTTCTAAAGAGCCTCACAATAAATAAGTAGATTATATTGAATTTCAAAAGAGAAACAAAAGGTAAGAAAAAAAATATTACAAAAAACGGGAAGCCGGTATAATTTATGAATGTTACATTTTTGAATGCGTAAGATATTTGAATGATGAACTTCGTTCCGATTATAATAATCTTATTTATTTTTGTATTAGTTACTCCGATTAATGGATATTCTATAATTTATGGTGACGTATCACAGTACATACGACAAATAACAATATTACAGGTAGCCGTATCTATAGTTTATGAGGGATTGATAGATCTCCAATAGTCTCAAATAATAATATTAATGTCCGTCCGACATACGAGCAATTTAAAGAATATCCAAGGATAGTAGTACGAATAATACAGGGTGGCCCAAAAGTTATCACTTATCGGAAGATGCTATGATTATTGCAAATGGCGTTGTACGTCAATAATATTTGTCATTTGTGAACTAGATAGATCCTGAATACAAACAGACAAGCAACGTAGGCTCAATACTGCGCAGGAGCGTGAACATGTGGGCTTTCAACAAGACGGAGCAACACACCACGATTTCGTTTTGACGATTTCGCATGGCCAGCAAAATCACCCGATTTAACCATCCCAGACTTCTTTTTTGGGGCTACTTGAAGTCTCGGGTTTTTGCTAACAAGCACCGACATTCAGCTGGACATTCGACAGAAATGCGAACAATTTCACAGAAAATCTTGAAGAAGTCATGGAATTTGCGATAAAAGGGCCACAAACGTGTATCAACACTGGTGGCAGTCAATTGACAATATATTTTTTTTGCACTTAACTTAAAAAAATAAAGGTCCCTAATAAAGATCACAATCATTCAAAATTATTTTATTTGATTAAGTAACTTAAACATAAACAAAATTGGATGATTACTCTCGCTCCACCTTGTATATATTTTTTATAGCAGGCCGAATTCAGCGGTTGTAACGTCTGTCCATGAAATGAAGCAATCAAACAGATTGATGGCATCGTAAACTAGAGTCAATAAAGATGAAATCTTTGAACAGCTATTGATGTTTATCGAGACGAAGTTGTCTATCGATCAGTACGGAAGATAGGTGCTATGTCATCTTTGAGGGCGCCCAATTTCAGATTACAGATTACTGAACATCTTCTGAAGATACATCGGTGTATATAAAGGGCAACCTTTATTGAGTGATCTATCAACGCACAGTTCAAATCGATGAACATATTGCGCTGAAAGGACAATGTTAAAATTGGCCTAAGGACCAACACCAATTTGGCATTTATGATTATTCTTAGTATATTTTTTGCGATAATTATCAGTATTTAGATCGTGACGGATACTTCCAGTTAAGTAAGCTAAATTAAAAAGTAAATAAATAATCTGAGACAATAAATACCATTTTATGTGTATAATCTATGACAGCGCTGCAAACAAAACACTCTTTCTTCCTAATGCCGGCACTTCACTTGGCTATTCGTATTTGCTATTTAAAAACATGACATCAGTCTGTTCTTTTCATTCCTTATTAAGCATAACAAGGACAAACTGTTGTCAACTGAAGGGCCGGCATAAACTCGATAATCTGTGGTTAAAATAAAATTCATTTTCTCTCATAAAATTCTCGTTTCAGATTACCTGTTGTGTGTATTTATTTGCGATTGTTTTTCCTTTAATTTAACTATTACTATTTCGGTTATCTAATATGCCATCGATGTTACCAAAGAGCAGAGACCTTATTACCAAGTGCTAGTGAACCTGTGCCACAACATCCTGAGAGGATCATACTGCCAAATTATTCAAGAGCACCTGATACATATTCACGCTGCATATTTACACAATATACATGTATTAAACAAATAAATACAATATACAATATGATACAATTATGTGAAAAATAGTCAATAAATAATAAGAAGCAAAACTATAGTTTTTATTTTATTCATGACTAGTGGCTCGCCCTCGCTTCGCTTCTGTGTAGAGCTGTAGTGTAAACTATAGTTTTTGTTCTCAGGCTTGTGCTATAAACAATGACTTTATTTATATAATTACACGTGTTATTGTGAGTCAACCATAAAAGATAGACATATGCTGTTGCGGGATATTTTTTAGACAATTTTATGTAGAATATTTTCGTCATACACGATTTCTATGTAACTTTAACCATAAGGCTGCACACGCGACGGAAGCTTAAAAAATGGAGTAACTTCTCCCGTTTTCCCAACATTTCCCTTCACTACTCTGCTGCTATTGATTGTAGCGTGATGAAAAGTATACTATAACCTGCTTAGGAGTATGAAGAATAATTGTACCAAGTTTGGTTAAAATCCGTCGAGTAGTTTTTGTTTCTATAAGGAACATACACACAGACAGACAGACAAAAATTTTACTGATTGCATTTTTGGCATCAGTATCGATCACTAATCACCCCCTGATAGTTATTTTGAAAATATATTTCATGTACAGAATTGACCTCTCTACAGATTTATTATAAGTATAGATTCCCACCTAACCAAGTTTTTCCTAATAGTTATTCTTTATAATCGCACAGAATAAAATGAATGAGTTGTAATATTAATTCACTTCATACTGAGTACATACTAAATTCATAGGTTGGTTTTTCCACGCAGATGAAGAAGCACCCACTTGTTTGTTTTATTCAAAAGAAAGGTCAAAGGCCCTGAACTCCAAACTCCAAGCGTGATGATCACAAAAATAAATTGTTACCGGATACGTTTAGTGTATACCTTTCTATGTTATGTAATTATTAGGTACTAGCAAACCAGTGAACCAAATGTTCATCAAAACCTGATTTAAAAAAAAATGTATTTAATTAATTGAGAACTTCGGAGATTTTGTGTGGTTTCGTTTGAAATTCGTGATTTCTCGAAAACCGGAAGTGCTACGTTACTCAAATCCGGTTTGTAGTCTTATCAGACTATTCTTAACTTATAACTTAAATATTCTCTTTATCTATCTCTTACGGTTTGGCCGCTGAAACAGCACCACAGACGGACGGACGGACTTGTCTAATAGATAAGAGATGATTACTACGAGCTCTATATAGTTTAGACACCATAGATAAACAATTAGATAATTTGAGATTTTTAATTTGATTAGGCAATTTACAAAATATAAAAATTTCAATAATGTTTAGGTTTATGCTCCTGAAAAGTGATAGCGAAACCCTATTATAAAGCCTCCACTGTAAGTGCGTCGATCTCTTCAAGGAGTGTGAATTCTATTTTGGAACATAGTTATCCGGTTATCCTCCAGAGTAAAAGTTACATCTTGGACGATGGTAAGGAATCCTTCGTGCTTAACCCATAACCCCGAATCACCATTAGCCGCAGCGGACACCAGAAGAGGCGCGCGCGGGACGTCTGGCAAAGCTGTTGCCGCCCCTCGCAGCTCTTCTAAGTCGCCCCAAGCAGCCTACCGTCGGGTCATGGCCCTGTTAGCCCTTGGATAAATACGCTCCTGAATATTAATAAACGATATATCTTTCCTTATCTTCTTACCTACTCTTAATACTTCTCTGTTATTCCTCTCCCTTTTAACACCTATTTCAACTCTGGCAGTATCCCTAGCAGAAGTGGTTGAGACATTTTAATCACCACTTTTTATGTTAGTCACTTACACACATTTTGCGTCAAGCCACAAAAACACTAATAAATCCAAACTAGACAGAAGAAATAAAAATAAAGGTAGATTTGCACAACATATTGTATGACGCTAGATAAATATCGAGCAGCCGTAAGAGTTAAAAAAGAACCAAAATGATTTCTAATACTATTTATTATAAAAATTACAATTCTAATTCTTAAACTAGTTGACCCGGTCGAAGTGTCAAACGAAGTGACGAGGCCACGGGCAGCATGAGGCATCCAATAGCGGTGTACGTGTGATTCTCACGTTTTGTGCAGTGTTGGCGTTCTTCGTAATCTGGCAATCCGTAACTCGATCATTATGTTCTGCAGAGAGTCTTTATCTTATTTATGTTACTTATTGAACAGAAGTAGGTAAATAAAATTGTTATTGTGTGTATGTTCACAAATGCTGCAGTTATTTTGGGTGTTGGTTGAGACTAAGGCTTTTGGCATTTTGATCTTAAACTTCCATTCAGCTATAAGATGTAGACTAAATATAGTTTTTGATGTGGTGGAGGATTAGGGTTGCCATCTAAAATAGAGTACTTATAGTCTTCTTCATCATGAAGGCGTTCTTTTTAATCTACGACACTAATGAAGTACGCTTAAATACTCTATAAGCAAAGAGTAAAATAACATATTCTCTAGGACAAACAATAAAAAAAAAA